AAATTCACTGGGTTTTTTGATTTTATATTTTTCACTTAAAAGTCACATTTTGTGTTTTATTTTTCTTTAAATTGGTGGAAGATTGGATTTTTATTTTCAAACTACGTTTGTTTTTTTCAAATCTTTCTTCTTCTCTTGTCTTGGACCTGTTAAATAAAACTAAATTAATTTTTTGTTTTCAAAATTTGAAATTCCAAAAAGAGCTACTATCAATTAATGGCTGTTTTCTTCCATTGAAACAAAAAAAATATTCGAAATCAAGTTTTGTATTTAATTAACACCTCGAACTGGGCCTAGGGTATTTGAAATGACGTATTTTAATTAAATAAAACTAAACAAAGAATGACAAGACATTTTATGAGTTAGTGAGAATTGTTGGGAGTTTGGGAAAATACGCACTGCAAAAATACCCATAGATAAAACTGAGTCAAGATTTGAGTCAGTCGAAATTTGGCAAAAATGACATAATTTCAGATCCATCTCTAAGAAATAAATCATTCATTCTTCAAAAGGCAAATATGTATACTTATGAAGAATTTATTCTCTAAAAAGGTTTGTATTCCCGAAGAAGAAAATAGAAGAATAGAAAATAGCAAGTTTTCAGCCAAATTGATTGGAAAATATGAAATTAACTTAAATTAGGGTGTATCTTTAAATAATGACTATATCAAAACATAGACTCATATTGAGCCAATATTCAAAATTTCCGCCAAATCAGTTGGAAAATATCGCCAAGAAATAAGAAAAATCAGGAAATATTTTATATAATGGCTATACCAAAACCTAGTCCCATATTGCTATGCATGTAGTTTATTTTGAAACCTATGATAGAATTTGGAAATATTTTCTCATTTTTGTTCTGCAAAATTGAAACAAATTTATATCGATTTATTTTCTGTGGGGACATATAGTGCAATTTCATGACCAATATTTTTGTCTTTGAGTTCATCCTTCAAAATGATGTTTTGTGGGAGAATTTCCCATGAACTCACATGAGGTCGGGTTGTAACCCTAATTTTATATATTTTTTTAATTCCGTTCAAGTAAGATTTGAAATATTGCTTTATTGTAAAAAATATAGTAAAATTTTATGAATAATAATTTTGAAAAATATTTCAAACTGCTATGACGACGTTATTTTAAAAAAGCCCCTTTGGTGATTCTCTGTAGGTTTAAAATTTTTGATCAAAATAATTCTCGTATTGGCATCTGTAATTTTGACGAAGACACTAAATACCTCAAATGTAAGGGGTTTCAAGAAATTGTATTCTGAAATTTTCAAAAAAATAAATAAATAAATAAAAAATAAAAAGGGAGAGGAGGAATATGTCCCTCTATTTAGGTTATATTGCCATGTAAGCTCTCAATCTTCCACAAATAATCTAAAAGAGTCCCCGATTAGATTCAAATTTTGAATAGCTATAAATTTTTATTTAACTTAGATTCTATTCAATCCGCTCACTAAGATACCTCTGCTGAAAGGAGTCAACATTTTGGGAATTTTAAAACCCACAAAACACGCGGAGGAGAGAATTTTATTTCTTCCAAATTTTGGCTATATTTTTTTTACAACATTCAGATCGTGCTCGATGATGGGCTGTATAGACCCAAACCCTCTGGTACCACCCACTATGAAAGGTGCACATATTTTGAAAAAAAAAATTGAAACGTATCCGATTTGTTCAAAATTTTGGAGAACTTAATATTACCAGATAACTTACATCCCTTTCGAATATGGGCCATATAGATCGTTTCCTACCCACAAAGGATTTCAATTTTTAAATCTCTCTCGGACTCAACATTAGTATATTAAGGTTTGTCATTCCGTTTATAACACATCGGAATATACATTTTAGACCCAACAAATTATATATATTTTTGATCAGCACAAAATTCTATGTTGATTAAGGCATTTATCTGTGAAAATCAGCTACCGAACAATTTGAAGCAGGTTGATAAAATTTTACTCAGATGTGTGTTAGGCCTGTAGAATTTTTGATATTGAAAATCGGCTATATAGGTCTACGTTTTGGCATAGCCCCCATATAAATGTACAGACAGATATAAGGTTTTTAGTCTCAATTTTAAACTGAATTTTCTGTAAATTGGGAGCATGTAGAAAATATTCTTGCAGAGAACTGTACATATAGGTCCAAGTTTTGGTATAGACCCCATATAACTGTACCTCCAGATATTCGGCATTTAGATGATGTTAGCGACACTATCCATCGGAATTGTTTCAAATTTGGATTTTCATAATGGCTATGGCTACAGGCTATGATAGAAAATTGCTCCGGCATGTCCACGTCTTCGTATAGCCCCCATATAACTGTACCTCCCCTATATTCGGTATTTTTATGATTTTTGCGACATTATTTATCGGAATTGTTTCAAATTTAGAATTTAAGGTTCCTAATGAATACTACGGGTATGACAGAAAAATGCATTGGCAGGTTCTTCGTATAGCCCCCATATAACTGTACCTCGGCATTTTGTATATTGGGCATTTTGATAACTTTTGCGACATTATTTACCGGAATAGTTTCAAATATTGAATTTGAGGTCCCCTAATGGATACTACAGGCTATGGCAGAAAATTGCATATGCAGGTCTACCAATATAACGCCAACTCCCAATATTCGGAATTTTTATGATTTTAGTATTCCTTGAAAATCGTGGAGCGTATTCAAAGTTTGGCCAAATGTACTGGTTTTTCACATGCTTTACCACAAGAGGTCCAATTTTTAAAACACTTTTTCCAAAATAGCGGTCCACTTATTTTTGTACTTCTTCCCCAAGGATTCGAAAATATAAAAATTGAAATCTTAAAAAAATGTTAATCCTATTACTTTTATTTTACTCATATTCTGTTCAAAGCTGGCTGTTGGGTCCACTCCTCGAAGTGCAAGGTTTCATTGTTTCGAAAATTTTCCATTTTTTTAAGGAGGACATGGAAGACTCCAATTATGTTCAGATTTGGCATATTCTATTATTTTTACCATACTAAGGATGTGTTCGAAAATGGACCACATGGGTGAATTTTACAGCACGCAAAGAATATATTTTTATACCCTCCACCATTCTCATGATTTCAGCGACATTATTCACCGGAATTGTAAGAAATTTCGTATTGGGAGATCTTAATGGTTACTACAACCTATGAAAAAAATTTTCGTATGCAGGTCCATGTCTTCGTATAGCCCCTATATAATGGTACCTCCCGATATTCGGCATTTTTATGATTTTAGCGAAATTATTTACCCGAATTGTTTCAAATTTGGAATTGTAAGTTCGTAATAGGTTCTATAGTCTGTGACAGGTTAACTTCTTCGTATGGGTCCCAATATTCGATATTTTAATGATTTCAGCAGTATTTTTCAACGAATTTTATTTAAAAAATTGCACATTTCTTGGAAATGGTGGAGAGTATTTAAAATTCAGATTACATGGAAGACTCCAATTATGTTCAGATTTGGGATATTATATTCTTTTTACCCAAGAAATATATTTTTAAAAATCACAAATTTCATTTATTTTTTTTTATTAAATCAAACTATTCTTTCGATCCCCTTCTTTCTTTCTCCCGCGTTCTTAAAACGGAAATATTCAATTTGAGATTATAATAATTAAATCCGTTTTTTTTTCATATCCAATTAAAAATTGCTACGTCTTTTTGCACCTGAAGAGAAAACTAAAACGGATATGAAGAAAAAATACAACGTGATTTATTTGGACAAAAAAAAAAAAAAAACAGCTGTGAACTGGTTTAAGACAGGTTATAATTAGCTCTTTTTGGAATCACTAAAAATTTTGAAAATATTTTTTCGATTTTTTTTTAATTTTTATTGGTATTTTCACATTATAAACTTTTTAGCAACGCAATAAATTATGCTTTTTTTGGTAGGGTGGGGGTTAATGCGTTATAGATTTTTCTGCAACTATTTTTTTTTTCACTTGGGAATGTTTGAAAAAACATTGTTGACAGCATTTTGGTTGCATAAAATTCTAATTTTGAAATTTAATAATTTTTTTTCTTTTAAGGAGATTTGGAGTTTTACACGATTTTCATACTTTGTTTTCCTTATTTTTTCGGATTTATTTCACTGCATATCCCTTTGATATATTTTTCTCATGGCTTTGTTATTGCAATTTCCACATATTTCCAATTATACAACATTCATGAAAATGTAACGTAACAATTTTTACAAGAATCGACATTTTACATTTGGTTTCATAAATCAAACGCGCAAAAAAATATTTTTTTTTTATTTCACATATTTTTTTTTTTTTAATAATTCGCTTCTGTATTTTTTATTTGTATTTTTTGCTTTAAAGGCAGTTGTGTTTCTTTTCTTTATTTTTATCAAAAAAAAAATGTTTGTGGTCTTGGTTGGCCCCGTTTCTGGGCGTCTTATTTTGTGTTAGATGGTGTTTGCGCGTTTTTTACAAAATATACTAAAAAATGAAAATGATTTTCATTTCGAATCTCCCAGCAGTAGCAGGTACTAAAGAAAAATATTCTTTTTTTGAGTTTTATATTTTCTCCCCCCCCCCCAATCCGACACACACACACACACCCTTGCAAAGACTTCCCACAAGCAGACACAAACACACACACACACACACTTTGAGATATAAAAATCTTCATCATCACCATCATCATCATCCACAAAACTGTGGCTGCCAGCTTTATGATGTCTTTCATATACACAATCGTATATGCATGTACGTATGTCTGAATGTCTGTAGAGGCTGTTGGCTGGCTGGTTGGCTCTCACGTTCCCGCCGCTCAATAACCAAAGAATTTCATATTTTTGCAAAACAAAAAAAAAAAAAAAAAAAAAAAAAAAAACACACAACATGAACAAGAAGCAAAAAAAAAAATAATAATAATAAAAATACTATACACAGAAATCGCCAAGAAGAAGATGATGATGATGACGATGAGGATGATTATTAAAAAAAAAAAACACGACAAACGAGAGAAAACCCAAACATCATCAGAAATACCAACGAGCGCCAGGCCCATCCAATATTTGGAGCAAATCATCGCCAGCGTCGTCATCATCATCGTCGTCGTCGTAGTCGTGGTTGTTTCTGATTTTTATTAAAACATTCCCACATAAACGAGTTAATTTTCATCATGGATCTGATATGAAGAAAAGTTTTATTGTGATTTGTTGATGCTACACCCTACATTGGGTAAATGACCACCGACAAAAATAGGAATGCAATTTTTTTAAAATATTTCTTCAAAGACCAGAACACCAGCAGTGATATGGTAGAATCATATGTTTTAGGACAATCAATGTTTTTTTTTTGTATAAAATATAATAATTTAAGGACTGTCAATAAATGTTTTTTAATGGACTATATCAAATTATATTTCTTAAAAATGTGGATATATTTTAATTTTAATTTTTTTTAATTTTAGTTTTTTTAGGGACTATTAATCTGCATGGGTTTTATTTCCAAAAATCTTTCCACGAAAAAAAAATAAATAATTAAAATAAAAAATCAAGAGTAATCAATTAATGTTTTTATAAATTTTTGAGGGCCTTGATCAGTGAGAGTTTATTTTTTATGAAGTCTTCTTTTCAAAAATATTTTCATGGACTCGGTAAACCATGTGTTTTTAAAAATATTTTTCAAAGACCATCTATTTATGTTAATTTTTAAGAATTTTTTTTTAAGGATTTTCAATTAGTGCGATTTTTCTAAAGGATATTTTTTCACAGGACTATCAATTCACGTGGATTTTTTATATTTTTTAATGATTATGAACAAGCTTTATTTTTTTTTAAATTTTGGAAGACTATTATGAACAATATAATATGGATTTTTTAAAAATATTTAAAAGACCACCATTCAACGTGGGTTTTCAAAAATACAGTTTCAAACACCATTCGTTAATATGTATTTCTAGGACTACCCAAATGTGGACTTTTTAAAAATATTTCGCCAAGACTATCAATTAACGCGGATTTTTTTTTTTAATATTTTTCCAAGGACTATCAACCCACGTGTTTTTTTTTAAATAATTTTCAAATTCTATAGATCAATGTAAATTTGCAAAAAAAAATTTTTCAAGGAAATGTCTATAAACATTTTGTAAAAACTATTCTTTCAAGGACTATCGAAATGTTTTAAATTTATTCGATTTTAAAAATATTCGATTTAAATCTATGTGGGAAAACTGGGCAGGTCCTTCTAAAAGATTTCTTTAAAAATCCACTTTGGGATGAGCTGTTGGTCATTAAAAAATATTACTAAAATATGACCCTTGCATGATATGTTGGTCCTTTTTTTTATTCAAAAATGCTCGAACTATTTTTTAATTATTTAATTCTTAAAATAAACAAGATTAATTTTTTGGTCCTTTATTTCATTGTGACATTGAAAAGTACTTTTTTTTCTCAAAAAAATGTGTTAAAGAAAATGTTTCAAGGACTGTTAAGAATTTTCAAGGACTATCAATTCGAATGGATTTTTTAAGAATATTTTTTCAGGGGCCATAAATCAACGTCGATTTTTAAGAATAGCTTTGCAAGGACTGTTAACAAACAAGGGATTTTAAGGATTTTAGTTAAGGACTATAAACGATGTGAATTTGTTAAGAATATTTTTATAGAATATCAATCTACATAAATTTTCTAAAATTATATTTTTTAAGGTCCAGCAATTAAGTTTTTTTAGGAAAATTTGATAAGGACGTTTGAAGATAAAATTTTCAAAGGATTGATAGATTTTTTATGAATTTTTTCTATATGATTTTTTTAAATATATTTCTAAATTTAAATATTTTCTAAATGAAAGGTCCATTTAGATTTTTATGAACATTTTTTTAAGTATATTTTGTTGGTCCTTGATTAAAAAATTTTATAATTATCATAAATTTAAAAAAATCTACTATCCACGTTTGGAAAAATGCATAACTTTATATAAATTAAAGTTTGGATGACAAAAATTAAAATCCACTTTGGGATGAGTTGGTGGTCATTAAAAGATATTGTTGAAATTGTTGAAATACCAAGATCTTTTATTTCAAAAGAAAAAAAAAATTACGACAGATTTGTTGGTTCATTAATTCTTTAAAACAAAAATCCAAAAAAAAAAAAAAAAAAAATGTTGATCCTTTAATTCTTTAAAAAAATAAACGAATGACTTTTTGGTCCTTTAATTAGAGACAATAAACAAGATAGATTTGTTGGTCCTTTCATTCTTAAAAAAAATCACGATTGAGTTTTTGATCCTTTAATTCTTTAAAAAATATCCACGAATGATTTATTGGTCCTTTATTTCTTTAAAAAATTCACGATAAATATGTTGGTCCTTTATTTCATTAAAAAATCTACGATTAATTTGTTGATCCTTTAATTCTTTAAAAAAATCATGATTCATTTATTGGTCCTTTACATTTAAAAAAAAATTCACGATTAATTTGTTGGTCCTTTAATTCTTTAAAAAATCCACGAATGATTGTCGATCCTTTAATTCTTTAAAAAAATCCACTTTTTTTTTTAATTCTTTATTTGATTAAAAAAATCCACAATTGATTGCTAATCCTTTACTTCATTAAAAAATGACCTTTATTTCAATAAAAAATCCACGATTGATTGTCGATCCTTTATTTTATTAAAAATATAACTATTGATTGTTGATCCTTTATTTCATCATAAAATCCACAAATTATTTGTTTGCCCTTTATTCTAATTTTCAAAAAAAGTCCCCAATTGAATTTTGGCCCTTAAAATCATATGTCTTTAAAATTCATGCTCGGATTGGCTCTTGGTTCTTGAAAAAAAAAAATCTTTTAAAAAATTCACTTTATCTTCCTGAAAAAATTGATAAAAATCCACGTTTCTGGTATACTGATCCTTGAAAGAAAAATATATTTTCCAAAAAAAAAATTAACTTTTGGGCGGTCTACTGGTCCTTGGAAAAATATTCTCAAAATTAGATTAGTCGGTTGGTCCTTATAAATATATTCGTTTAAATATTGACATTTTCTATTGCTCCCTGAAAAAATATATTTTCCAAATCACTTTTGGACGATCTGCAGGTCCTTGGAAATATATTTTCAAAAATTCATGGTTGATTAATCGGTTGGTCCTTAGAAAGATGTTCACATTTGGATGCTCTGTTTGCTGTTCTTTGTTTAAATCCTGCCTGGCTCTTCTATTTCCCCCTCTTCTTTTTTCCTTTTTCGTTTTGCAATGTATAGAAAACTAATAAATTTTTATCAAGGATATTATAAGGATAATCATGTTCATATGTATTCATGTTGTTTGACTGCCTAATGACCATCATCATTATCATCGAAAAACAACAATAATGAAGTTTGTTTTATGCCTCTGTCCCATGGAATCAAAGTAGATTTCCCAAGCCATCAATGCCAGCCCCACATACACTGGATCCAACTGAACAATCCGGCGAACGTGCCATAGCTCAGGGTAGGTATTCAATGCTTTGAATATTTTTATGTGGCTATTAAAGAAGATTTGCTTTTTTGTTTTTGTTTATGATTTGATTTGCTCTTCCTCTCGCCACGTTACGTTCTATTAAATATTCTCAAAGATGTTTGAGTGTATTTCCTAGATTTGGATTTTGACTCACAGTGAGTGGGGAGGGTGAGAGAGTGTGTATGTGTGTGTGCGTGGGGGTCAGAACAGCAATTGAGTAAAAGAGTGGATGCTGCCGCCACTCATTTCTCATTTCCAAAGCAAAATGAAATTGAAATGAAAATGTTCACTTACCTACCATAATATTGAATTTAAAAGGAAAATATTGAAAATCATGTACTTTTTTGTTTACGGGAAATACTCTGTGCCAGTAAGTTAGGGGAGATGGGTCCATTAATCACATCATTTAAAAAAAGGCTTAGTCAAAGGGGTTTATTTTTAAGAAGAAAATTGTGATTTCCTTGAATTCAATGAATATGACATTTTTTCCTGGGAAAATATTATGCTTTCCACTTAAAAGGAAAATTTCCTTTTTTGTTTTTTCTTTCGCTTTCATAACAAGGCCACCATTATTGTGTCAGTTTTGACAAAGATGCGAAAAAGGGGGTGAATGTACGAGTATCGGTTTCAGTCGAAATATGACAGGTGAAACATGTTTGTAATATATATGTTAATTTATCCCCCAAAAACAAAAAAATCCTCTACTACGCATTGGCTATACACCAAAATGTGAGAAAAAAAGCAGACCTTAAAATTTGTTGTTTATTCAACCTAAAAATAAAAATAATATTTTCTTTTTCACAAAGGTAAAACAAATTCCGCATCCCAAAATTTCGCCTTGCCAATATTTTCCCAATTTATTTTTATTTTCTTTTTAATTTGACATTAATTTTGTGTCTATTATTGTTTGAATATTTTAAAATAAATAAATATAAAATTTAAAAAAAAAAAAAGAGAAAGAAACGAAAATGTTTATGTCTAAATATGAACTTGTCGCTGACATGAAAACAAAACAATAATAAACTTTTTCGAAAAAAATGAGCAACTAGAACGTCTGATTATAAAAACAATAATAGCAACAACAAACAAACATTACTTAATCATTTGTTTGTCAACAAATCATTTAAGAAAATGTTAAAACGCAACAGGCATTTTGGACAGTGGGACAAAAATTCGTGACTAAAAATTAAATGGATTTGGGGGACAAATAACCATGTGAAGGTTTTTTAAGGTGGATTAATTTAGTTAAAAAAAATTTTTAAGGGGTATGGTAAGGTATTTCTGTTAATATTTTTAAAAAATATAGACTTGATTTTTTTAAAACATTTAAGGTCATTTTTAAGCGTTATTAAAAATTAAAATTTGGTTGGCCTTAATAACATTTTTTTAAATAAAATTAACATTTTTCGGCCTGGGGGTCATTGAATAATTTAAAAATTTAGTATGGACCCTTGAAATTTGTTTAATAATTAAATTATATAATTAAATTTAATTATTAATTAAATTTTATTTGTAATTGTAATTAAATTGTCCTTAAAACATCACGGTGATTTTTAAATTTAATAAATAAATATTTGTAAGTATTATATAATTTATATATTTATTATTTTTAAATAATAAAATATATTAAAGTAA